TCCCTGTCACCTAAACCACCTTTATTTTGTAATAATTTTCATCACTAGACCGTATTGTTTTTACAGGCATATAGTACACCTACTATGTCTTCTAAGTAATGGTTTGGGGATTTTTTTTGTTCTGTTTTTTTCTGTGTAATTTGATACTACAACAAGGCACACTGGATAGTCTTGAAATTCATTTAAGTTTTCCAATTCAGTCACAACTGACACCGTGTGTTTTAGCATATTGTAGAAGAAATGAAGGCCTAAGTGTTTTATGACCCAGGTTTGCAGAACTGATGATTGAAGTCCAGTGTTACATGCAGGTGCTCACACCTGCAATGTTCAAGTCCTTAAACTTATCTTGAACATGGAAATTCTTATTGACAGCCATTAGATAGAAAGTACTGACAGCAGAAAATCTGTTACTAAAGATGATCTTCCCAAATCAGTAAGCCAAGAAGGTGACAATTTTCTACCGCTGTCGCTTGGTTAATTCGTTGTTTTGAGGCAGGACAACTCCCGCCCTCAGAAGGTCCCATGCAAGGATGTGTCTGCGTAACTGAACATGTAACAGTGGGCTTAGAGATGCTGTTGGCCAGACCACGTTTGGAAACAGAAGTGGTATAATAGCAGTGGTGTGACACACAGCTGTAGGAGAAGGCAGTGCTGGTGGGTCAGTGAACTCAGTTAACTCATGGCAGTAAGGGTTATGAAACAGCTATGGTGGCTCCAAACCTGAAGTAGTATCTCTGCATCACTTCACTGAGTGATGTGGTTGTTAGAAAGGTTTTAATTCAGGGATATCTGTGTTACGCTCCATTGCTGAAGGTGAAGGCAACCTGGAGTTTGGTTGTGCATGTTCCCACGTCAGCAGAGGTATGAAAATTCTCATATGACTCATCCATTTCTTGGCAGGATGATAGCAGCACCTAGAAAAGTTATGCAGTATCTTTGTTGATTTGGTTTTCCAAACCTATTACAGTAGAGCAGAATGCTTTAGAACATCTGACTTCTTACTGGGCATTTCGGAGGCCAGGCAGACACAAGTGGTAGCTAAAATGTGAATGTCCATCTTTGATTTTCAGTTTTTGAAATTAAGAGCATCACACCAAGAGAAAAACTCAAACATGCTACATGACTAATGCGTGCTTGGAGTTCAGAAAAAAGCAATGAGTATGTGAGATCCGGATGATCCCTATGATCTTTTTTTTTTTTAAGTCCATACAATTCCTTATGTCTGAAAAAAATGGATGTTGTAAAATGTACCTTTTTCAGAGAGTCACCAGATTAAATCTCAAGAATTTTCAAAACACTTTAAAACTGTCAAAAACAGAGTGCTTTGCAATTATAAAGTGTTCTCATGAGACTTCTAACTGTTTTATGTGGAGCATTAGGTCAAGGTTTAGATTTTTCTTCTTTTTGAAACAGCTGTAACCTTTTTTGCTCAATATTTGCCTTTATCTTGTAGGCATCCAACAATCTGTAGCTGAGTGAAATTTCTTTGTGAGGAAACAGATTGGAAAAATTGCAATTCTTGGCAGCTAGGATATCAAACTGTGCAAAAAAGATTTTCCAGTCCTGTTGAATGGGTTGAAAGCAGCAGTACTACAATACAAGTCTAGCACCAGCTAAGACATAACAAAGGATAAAGCTATTAAAGGATGGCATTTTGAGTGCTGCATTAAAAAGGTGTTAAGTATCCTGATAGAGAGGAAAGCAAATGGGAGGCAAACTTTTTGTACAAATATATACATAGGGTTTGGGGTTTTTTTTGCCTGGGGATTAGTTTTGAAATTTTAGTGTTTGGATGCATTTGCCCCTATTTTGCTATCTGTGATGCAATAGGGTGTTGCACTAGTAACACTTGTATAATTAAGTTGCAGTATAACACCTGAGAAAGTGTAACAGAAATAAAACCTGTAATAGGTAGTATAAATGCTTTGGGGCAGGATTTTAGGTGACTTAGATCTGTGTTGAATGTTGCCTTCTGTTTTTTAGTGTGGCCTGTCAAGTGCCACACCTATCAGTACCTAAATAACGTCATCAGGAAGAGGAGTTGGAAGCCACAGCTGCTTCTACCAGTTTTCTATGCAAGAGAGTTGCAGTATTTGCATATCTGATGATTTACTGTGCTCATTTTCAGTAAGCTCTTCCGTGACAAATACAATGCCTGCCTGCACTTACACTTCGGGCAGGTGGGCCTTTTCCATGGGTGGGTCTTCTAGTATTACCACAATATGAAAAGCAAAGAGCAAATGTTAAGCAGGAAATAACTCAAAAGAGAAGCAACACTTCTAGGAAGAGATTCAGTCCCACATATATGGCATAATTTATGTTATATTAGGAAAAGGATAAAGTAAGGTTTTTTCCCCCTCAGTGGAAGGCAGGGAACAGAGTAAAAGTGAATTTGGCTGCTTATAACATATAGTATGTTTTCTTATAAGCTATGTAAGAAGAGGAAGCTCACACGAAGTGGAAATACATATCAT